AGATTATTAAAAAAAAAAGAACCTAAAAGATGAACAACTGCATTAGTCATTAGGGAAATATAAATTAAAACCACAATGAGGTATTCCTACACACCTACTAGAATGGCTAAAATGTTTAGATTAGGGAACACCAAGTATTAATAAATATGTGAAACAACTAAAAATCTCACCATTGATCTCAGTAATGCAAAATGACATAGCCATTTTGCTGGGGGTTAAAGTTAAACATATACTTATAATTCAATTCAGTATAAAAATACCACATGATCTCACCCATTTATGGATAATAAAGACCATAATCAACTTTTGAACAAAAATAGATACAGAGGCAGAGCTGCCTCGAACAGACTGTCAACTACAGCGGGAAGGCCGGGGAGGGTTGGGGGGCAGGAGGGGGGGTAAGAGATCAACCGAAGGACTTGTATGCATGCATATAAGCATAACCAATGGACATAAGACACTGGGAGGTAGGGGAGGCCGGGGGATTGTCAAGGGCGGGGGAAAAAAAAGGAGACATATGTAATACTCTTTGTAATACTTTAAGCAATAATTAAAAAAATATTCTACAGCTTAATGTATTTACAATTCAATGTAAATATATTCTAGGTGTTTAACTTGAAAGAAATGGTAACATACACAGGAACACCTATATATGAATGTTCATAGCAGCTTTATTCATAATAGGCAAAAAAAATCCAAATGTCCATCAAAAAGTCAATGAATATACAAAATGTTATTTATATATATAGTGGCTACTACTTAGTAATAAAAGGTAACAGCTGTTGATATAAACAACATGAGTGAATCTCAAAAGTATTGTGAAAGAGGTCAGACACAAAGGCTACCCCCTATTTGATTCCTCTTATATGAAACTCTAGAAAAAGCAAAAAACAAATCAGTAGTTTCCAGGGGCTAGAAGACAGGGAAGGGAATTAATTAAAAAGAAATACAAGGGAATTTTTTATAAAAAATGAAAATGTTCTATATCTTGATTGTAGTGGTGATTACATGACTGTATACATTTGTCAAAACTCATCAAACTGTACATTTTAAACTGGTAAATTTTACTATATGTAAACTACACTTCAGTAGAGCTATGTGTTTTTTAATTAAAGGCATTCTCTTTCAACGCTAACAAAAGCCAACCTGAAATAAGAGGCCAAAAACTGTTATAGTTTGTGAGTCACCTCAGTAGGGATAGAACAAGGGGAGAATTATAGTGAAATTATTACACATTGATTCACTTAAAGCTCTCATGAATATCAGGAATTTTCCCTTCTGAGTCATTTTACTTGGTAACTTCCACTGCCTTTGTCCATTAATAGTACTGAACTAGGGGTTTATTACTTGCATTTCATAATTCAAAATCCTGGTTTTAAAAAATCCTCTTTATGTCTTGTACACTGAGAAATATACCTGTCAAGAGCACAAAGTAATCATGTTTACTGGTCAATGTTTTTTCTCAATGTAGGTAAAATTGCATCCAGATGTTACATGGTGAGTATGGAATCAGAGAAAGGGGAGTTGATTAGCTGAGCAATCTTTCATAAAATAAAATAAATCAGAAAAGAAGGAGATATGGTGAAAAATAAAAATCCCTATGCCCTGTCCCCCTCAACCCACTAGTACTATTATGAAGTAACCAACACTAAAGGTTTATTGGGTAAACTTTTCAGAAAATTTTCTGGACATATTCAAGCATATATATGTAATAATTTGAACCATATGCAATTGCCATCCTTATAGGTTAGAGATTGCTGCATATCAACAATTTCATATAGTTCAACCAATATTTATATTCTATTGTTAATGCACATGCTCTCATATTCTACATAGAGTTCTGCGCTTCTCTCTCTTAATATGTAGTGGCCATTCTTCCATATCAACACATGCAGCTGTACATCACTTTCTAAATGCCTAGTTTGTCATTGTATGGTTGTACCATACTTTATTTAACCAGTTCCCTTGTGATGGGAATTTAACTTGTTTTCTGTCTTTTGCTCCCTTGGTTAATATAGTGGATGATGAAAATAGCTGTCTTCAAACATTAAAGCGCTCTGCTTCCATCTCCAGTCTAGGGATGTGCCCACCCAAAGGACAGACACTTGGCTTTATGGATTGGGTTTCTGTGTCTCTAGCTATTGTTAACATTTTTTGATACTCACACAACAACAATGAAAAGTATGTGAAAACCAGTCAACTATATTATTAAATTTGGATAAAGACCCCCCAGTTCCGCTTTAATGTTAAAGATGCCATTTGAGTTAAAATCTTTGAATGCTCTTCAGGGTGAAAATCCCTCCCCCAGTCAATTAGTATTATTGTCACTACTTAAAACTTTGCCTTTCATCAATGCTCATGTTACTCCCTGTGTTCAAAAAGCTTTGCCTGCAGAATAAATTAAAATGTCTTCCCTTGACAATCAAGGCCCTCGGCCTCCAGCTCCAATGTACCTTTCCAACCTTGTTTCCCCTCTACCGGACGTGGTCTGTGCTGTCACATCACCTTTCCTTTCACTCAGGCCGTTCCCTCTGTTTGGAATGTCCTTCCCAATCAGATCCTCCGTGGGAATTCTGCCCACCTTCACAGGTTACCTGTAATGCCACTTCTCAACTCTCCTTCACCCCTCCAAAGCCAGTGTGAGTTTATAAGGAAAGCACATGCTTTCACGTTTCTCACACCTGCGTTTGACAATGCAATGCCAAACGGAGGTGAGTTGTCTTGGTGAAGACTGCTGCACTCTCTGTCCCCGGTGGGTGGTGAAGAACTGGAATGGGTGACCGCCGGCGCTGGCCTCTCCTCCGCGCCGACAGGTGGCGCTGTGGCCAGACGCGGCCGTACAGTCCGCGCGGCGCCGCTCTCTGGGCGGGGTGGGGCAGTCGACAGAAGGTCCCGTGTGCACCCGCTTCGGCCGCTCCGCTGGCCTGGTCTCTCTCGGCGTCTCACGGTCCGCTCAGCCCAGCACCATGGGGAAGCGGGACAACCGGGTGGTGAGTATCTGGCGGGAGGAACAATGGGGCGACGTGGGGCCCGCGGCCGAAGAGCGGGATCCCCCAGCCTTCCCGGCCGGGCCTGAGGGTCGGTTGTGGCGCTGGGACCTGGAGCCTGGAGACCCAGCCTCCCCCACCCGCAGCCCCCACGCCGGCTCGGACGCGCGTGCGCCGAGCTCGCAGTTGGCGCTTTCGGGGGCCCCCCTCCGTCTTCCCTCTCTCTTCCCTCTCCCTTCTTGCCCCCCACTTTGCTCCACTACCCTCAGCCACGCCGCAGCCTTTCCAGTGCTCCCTGGCTCCCTGTCTGCCGTACTGGGGGCCAGCAGTCCCCCTCCTCCCCCCCTTATTTTTAGAGCTGCAAGAGCTCAGGGAGACCGGTTCTCTCCAATAAGTCCGAGGTTCATGGAGGCGCGGGGGCTCGCGCCCCACCTCCTGCGCCCCTCTCGTGCGCACCCAGGTGGGA